TAATGCTGCAGGATTTGGAGGAACAAAGCTGACGATTTTCATCAAAAATGTGAAGTCAGGCTTGTTGTAATGGACGTGAGATGGACATGTAACGCTTCTCAGACTTGCGTAAAGAGGATCCAGGTTTTCTTGAACAAGTGTCTGAGAAAGTTCATCAGGTTCAGATGGACAGACAGGGTTACCAACGAGAAATTGTTAAGGAGAACAAGATCACGAAGAGCCCAGTCAGTGATGAAGTGGGAAGGCCGCGATGGCGATGGACCATCTGGAACCAACGGAAGAGTCGCAGAGAATGATGGTCACAAAAGTCGAAAGACATTGAATAAAATCAAGATTCTAGCCCAGGATAGAAAAAGGTGGAAAGCGTTTGTAGCCTTTACCTTGTATATACTGAGGAAGGGGGAGAATGGGGATGATGGTGATGATGATGATGATATTGATGATGATGATGATGATGATGATGATGATGATGATGATGATGATGATGATGATGATGATGATGATGATGATGATGATGATGATGGTGATGATATACCTTGAGTGTGTGTGTGTGTGTGTGTGTGTGTGTGTGTGTGTGTGTGTATGTGTGTGTGTGTGTGTGTGTGTGTGTGTGTGTGTGTGTGTGTGTGTGTGTGTGTGGTGCAGAGGAGGCCTCTTTGGACTATGTTTTTCGTGTATCAGCGGAAAACTACTCGATACAAATTAATAAATAGACTCTTCTTCACACAGGAATCGAACTCAAGGCTGATTTCACAATCATAACAGAGCACTGGTACAACAACAACTCAATGTTGAATAACATCTAAAAGAACCAGTCGTTCCACACCTCATTCCTCCCCTTCCCCCACCAGAGAACAACTACTTAAAGTGATATCCCCCGAAATACACAAGAGTATCCTGCCCCCACTTCTATGGCCTCCCTAAGATCCACAAACCCAACAAACAAGGCTCTATACTTCCTCCTTTAAGGGGTATAATTTCACAAATCAGAGGCCCTACCACTAGAGCCTCCTATACTGGCTAGACAGCATTTTTAAACCCCTCGTCCCCGGCTTCAGCGGCAACCATTGGGTCAAGGACAACTTACATGTCCTTCAAAAAATTAAAACACTGAATGAAAAGAGGCAAATTACAGACAACACCAACATTTTGGCCATTGACGTTGTAGACATGGCGTCGGTGGCCTAGTGGTTAGGCTCTCGGACTCGCAACCGTAAGGTCGTGGGTTCGAATCCCCTCAGGGACCCGACGTTGTGTCCTTGGGAAAGGCACTTTGCACAAATTTTCCTCACTTCACCCAGGTGGAAATGGGTACCTAGCTATAGACAGTGAACGATCTTGTCAGTTTGATAGTGTTTGAGCGCGTGAAATCCGCAGCTTGCACTGTATGCTTCCTCGGAAGCTGAGAATGTTTCTGAGTGTTCTCAGATGGTCTGCTGGGGTAATAATAGTTGTAAAGCGCATAGAGCAAGCTCTTGAGCATGGATATGCGCTACATAAATGCAATTATTATATTATTTAGACATGTACAATAACATCCCACACAAAGAAGGTGTCGAAGCCTGCCGCTTTGCTCTCGTTAGCCTCACCACATACACCCCCTGTCAAATAAGAGAAATTTGTCAACTCCTGGAACTACTCCTTACACTAAACAACTTTTCCTTCAACGACCAACATTTTCTTCAACTCACAGGAACAGCCATGGGAACACCTGTAGCTCCTTCCTATGTCCTATGCCAACATTTTTATGGCAGAATTTCGGCGTAAAAACATCCCCCTTCCAAACCAACTCTTTTTGGTCATGAGATACATGGGCGACATTATCGCCCTGCATGATGGTAATTCTCAACAAACACATCAATTTTTTTCGGACATCAACAGCGTCCATGACACCATCAAATTCACACACTCCAACCCCGGAAAGTCTACAGCTTTCCTCGACCTCTCCATCCACCTTCTCAATAACAGCATTGAGACAGACCTCCACCTCAAACCAACTGACTCAAAGCGCTACCACCCCCCTTCTTCCAACCACCCCAAACATAATTACTTTCCGTTCAGTTGTTTACAGTGGTGCGCTCCGACTCCGACGCATTTGTTCCAGGGATGAATGGTTTAATGCTAGAATTACAGATTTCAGAGAGACCTTCTGCGTAGTGGATACCTAAACAGTTGTATAACCCCCATCATAAACAAAGTGTGCAAACTCGGGCACAAGGATCTACTTAGCTACAAACTCCACAAACCTCATCAGAAAAGGTCATTCTTTGTTACCACTCACCACAAAAAAACTGCCCAATGTCCACAACATCCACAACCAGCACAAAGACATTTTAAGAAAAATTTGACAAGATGATGAAGTGCTTCCCTCAGCCCCCTTTAATCGTTCTCCGACAACCCCCCAACCGTGGCAACCTTTTCATCCGTACGAAAGATACAACACATCTTCCTTCACTTCAAAACAACCTCTCACAACCCCCCCACAACCACCCCTGCGAGAAACCTAGGTGCAAAACATGCCCTTACATGACAGAAACCAATCATGTAGAGGGACCTCTTTTCAAAAAAGTTCTTACAGATAACATCAACTGCGAAGCTAAAAATGTAATCTACTTAATAACATGAAAAAATATGATCTGCCCAATATGTAGGACAAACCACCACCACTCTTAGGGCCAGATTTAACAATCACAGGTACTCAGTACAAAACCACTCATGCACCCCAGTCGGCCAACATTTCAATAGCCCTGGTCATAACGGAACCACTGACGAGCAGCTTCAGGGTATAGAGATTGTTAAAAAACCTACAAAAGAAAATCTCAACCTTAGAGAATCTAAGTGGGTGTGGAACCTGGGCTCACATCAAACCCTCTCTGGCCTCAATATTGATGAGCCCCATTTCAGAGAACTAAAATTTACAACGTAACCACCCAAGCCGTTGCCCAAACTTTTCCCCCCTTTACACCTGCTCACCCCTCCCTCCCAACTGAGATCAACATACTACCCCCCTCCCTCCCTCTCTCCGCCACCATGCACTTCTACTCTTTATCTGACCGCGCCTTTTAAAATCATGGCACTGCAGTTTCACCCTGCCCACCCTTGCATCTCCTTACAGCCTATCTCCCCACCCTCCGTCCTCTTTCCCAGACACAGGACATTTCCCCTACTTGAAAACCACCCTCTGTCACTCCCTCATGCAAATGAAGTGCCTGATCGCCAGGATATTTTCTTTCAACGCCTACCCCGCGCTCTTTGCCTAAAGAGATCCTTC